ACGTGAGCGCCCCCGGGGGCCGCACCCGCCGCCCGTGCCGGCCTGCGCGGGTGAGCGCCGCTGCTGCGGGGCACGCGCGCTTTTCAGTAGCGGGAGCACGCTCCCCCAGGACTTAGTGGGGCCGGTCAAACACGTCGCTTTTGCCCCAGAAGCCTCGTCTGCCGCCGCCTTGGGGCGGGCGGGGGCCAAATCCGGCTGCCCGGCCGCATCGGGCCCCGTTTCCATGGAGACGCCAGCAGCGCGGGGGCCAGGGTTGCCATGGAGACCGGCCCAGTAGCGCTGGCAGGTCTCCAGGGGCCGGGGGCTGAGCCGCGACCTGCCCCAAGCCGCTCCGGTGCCGGGAGATCGGGAGCGCAGAGGATGCCCCGGGTCTAGCGAAGACCGATTCCGTCGTCGGTCCGTAGGCGCCGGGGCTGAATCGCGGAGCAGGAAGTCGGGTGGGGTTGGATGCTGGGGCCGCCTTCGGTGCTTGGAGATGAGATGGAGACGAGCGGCTGCGTGTTCCGTAGCTTGCCGTGTCCCCTTCATCCTGCGGTGTCATGGGATCTCTCTGGATTCTGGCGTTCGCGGTTCGGGTGTTGTGACGGCACTGGTACGCTTTGTGTCCCTTTCTGCAGTGGAGCAAGATGGCTTATTGTTGCACCAGCCAGATCAGCCCAACAACCCCAAGGTGCTTAGGATTGCCATCCTTGGGGCACCGAATGCCGGGAAATCGACCCTCTCAAACCAGCTGCTGGGCAGGAAGGTAAAGCTGCGCTGTCGCGATTTGGACGGTGCCGCAGAGTCAGGCTGCCGGCTGGTTTTGTTGACTTTTCCCAAGTAATGTACATATCTGGATTGGACTCCTGCAGGTGTTCCCAGTATCCAAGAAGGTGCACACCACGCGATGCAATGCCCACGGCGTCATCACATATGAAGACACTCAGCTGGTAGGTTTCCCTGTGTAGTCAGACAACACCCCATTGCCACGGCGGGCAGCGTTATCCAGGTGGCGTGCAGTATTTTGCTTTTGCCCTCTGCTTGGGGTTAATCACGTAAATGTGAGTTTAAGCAGTGTGTCGGAGACTACAGAAAGATCTGTGTTGTGTTGCTCTGTCTTTCCCTTTGCAGATCGTTCTGGACACACCTGGCCTCACCAGTCCTCAGAAAGCCAAAAGGTACCACTCTTAATGTGGGTAAAACTAGAATCCAGCTGGGCCAGGCTCGAGGGGACTAGAGCATAGATTCTACTGCAGGAGCTTGAGGGGCAGGACAAAAGGTGATAGGTGTCCATGTTGGGTAGACATGAAGTGTTCGTAGATCATTGAGCATTTTGAGCCTTGTGCTTGTCGCTGCACTAATGGCTGGTCTCACAGGAGCAAGTAAGGGCTACAGTCTCAGGGCTGCGTGGTGCTGAGTGGTGCACGTGCACCCAGAGCAAGAGATGTTGCAGGCCACAAGGCAGTGTTGTGCTAGCTGGCTCCTGGAAGATGTGAAATGCAGTCCTGCTTGTTTCAAAGAGAAATTGGCTCTGCAACAGGGTGGGTGCAGAGGTGGTGTGCGATCCAGTGTCCGTGTAGTTCTGCAACGTGCATCTGTCTTACAGGCACAGTCTGGAGAAGTCCCTCATCACTGACCCATGGGACAGCATGAAATATGCAGACTTAGGTGAGAGCCCCATTCACTTTCTTTGTTGCTGGTACTTGTGGCCTCTATTGTCACAGATACCTAATTGTCTGTAGATTGGGTGGAGCAGTCCAGGCAGCTCCCTGATGTGGGAGGGCAGCTGGGGCAAGGGCATGGGCAGGGCACCTGTATATTGGGGCTGCTTCGTGCCACGAAGCAGTGTGGAGGACAGCTTCAGCTGGACCTGCGTCCTGGTTAGTGAAGGGGCAGGGGGAGTTCTAATTTTCTATGACAGGGTGTCAGCCGGGGTACTTGGGAAGGTCCTAGGAGGTATGTGTGGGTGGGCAGGGACAGAGTGCTGCCACCCACTATCCTGTGCCACTGCCTCCCGGGAGCAGGGCTGGGGGGGAAGGGAGAAGTGGGGTGAGGGCAGCGTCTCCCTTCTGTGGGCCTCACAGGCCCCAGCCAGATGCTGGGGCAGGGGGAGGGAAGCCGTCTCACACGCAGATGCTGCCATCCACCATGCTAGGTGTTTAGAATGCATCTTATAATGATCAAGGCTTCCAAATTGCTTTAAAATAGTAAATATATTAAGAAAACATTTTGTTCAACTGATACCCATATATATAGTGGCATTTCATTTTAATCACAGAAAATGTGGGTTTAGGGTTCTTTCATCAGAGAATTGGGGATTTTTAAGCTGAGAAAGCTAATGACCCGGGATCTTGGTGAAGTGGGAACCACAGGCCAATTTGTGCAAAGAGAGGGTTCAGT